CCCCCCCCGCACCCCGGCCAGGGCCGACTTCCAAGCCCTGAGTGCTGGCAGTCTAGTACTGTCCTCGGCTCAGCCCCATACCCACCCCAGGACACCTGGAGAGACCTGGGCCAGGACGTACGTCATCCAGGAGCTTCCCCTCCACCCGCAGCTCCCAGGAGGCAATGCTGCCATCAGAATCCTCAGCATCGGGCTTCGCAGGGTTAAAAGTGTTGGAGATATAAAGACGCAGCTTCCGCTTTTGCTGTAGAAATAAAGAGTGTAGTACAGAGCCAAGCCCCAGCGCGAGCCCGCTTCTCCATTCTGGGAATAGGACTTAGCCCCCTCTTCCTGCCCCCAAGCCAAGGCACCTTCATTGGCCTCTTCAGAGCCTCCTGGATGTCCACCCGCTTCCGCATGATGGTTTGATCCAGTTTCCTCTCAAAGGCCAGGAGGTCCATGTAAGCCTGGGACTCTGGGACCAGCTCCCGGATCTGGAAGGGGAGGAACAAGGCCGGGAACCAGGGGCTCAGCCAGCCTTGCAGGTGGAATGTGCGTGCGTCATGTGGTCCCAGGACACAAAGAGCGTGGCGGGGAGCTGGCCAGGAGGCTCAGGGCGTGGAACTCTGAGAGCAGGAGCGAGAGCTCTCCCCAGGACTCCGAATCCAGCAATAAAGGCCTTGACGTGTGGGGATAAAAGCTGTTTCTCCCACTAGGGAGAAGCTGTGCATCTCATCACTAGGGGCGGCCAGAGCACCCAGGGAGCCCAGCAAGCGCCAGGGCTTCACCTCCTCGTCCTGTCCTCTCCCTTGTCACACGGCCTCTGGGTTTCCCTCGGGTGTCTACAAGGTGGAGAGGACGGACCCTGGCGTCCCCGGGACAGGTGATGTCGCTGCCTGCCTCTACACTGGCTCATGGCTGCTCAACCATGCTACTCCTTAGCCAGCTCGGCCTGGGTCCTCTTACGATGCCTGCGCCTTCTGGCCAGCTTCTGCGCCCTTCACTCCCCCTGCCAGCCTGTGATCCCCGAGCTCCCGTCTCCTCTTTGTCCCACGCCTTTATGTCTTCAGACCGCTGGAATTCAACCTACTGCACCCCAGACCCAGTATCCTAACCCTATGGCTCTGCTTCTTCCCTCTGCCCCACCCCTTCCCTCTGGCCTGGGGAGCCTCACTTCTTAATTAGCTTTTTGAACAAAAAGTGAAAGTGACTGTGATGCTGAAGCGCAGTTCCTGAGGGGGGAAGGGGAGAGGCACGGGGTGGCGGGGAGGGGGGAAGGAGGGCGGAGCAGCAAAGGGTGGGGGGTGGGCTGGGGGCTGCTGTGAAAGGCACTCACCCTTTGAGGGAGGATTTTGTCAGCCATCTTCCTCCTCTTGGCACTGTACATTTTTTAAAGAAAAAACCAGGTTACCATGGCGACAGATCTGGGAGTAACGAGGCCACCTGCTAAATTATCCCGACATCTCAGCCGGCCTGGCTGGGGTTCCCACAGCCCGCTCGTCTGCCTGCCCAAGAGGCTATGATGCTGGTGTGTGGCACTGGCGCTCTGTCCTCTCAGGGGGGAGCAGAGGTGACCCCGTCCTTTCTCCAGCCTGGGAGCCTCTTTCTGCTCCACCACATCCTCAGGGCCATCGAAATGAGACTTAGAAGGGGCCGGGGGTAGGAGAGCTGCAGAAGCCTTTGAGGAAAGCTGGGAAGGGGGGAGGACAGAGGAGGGGGAGGATGGATTCTGAGGACTCTCTTTCTCTGCTAAGCAGGGGTGCACGGTCCACGGTGGCCTGAGCTCAAAGGGAGGGGAGCTGACACCCCTGGCCCATCCCTGGAGCAGGAAATGATGGTGTGAAGCTGGTGAGGACTCGCACCCCCGCCACCCTGGGCTTGGAAGGGGACACTGATGGGCAGGGGGTGCTCATGCCCTTGGGCCACCTGCCAGCAGGGTCCAGGGACACACCCATAGGTATCCAGAGAGAGTGGACAGGACGTTCTCCTGAGGGGTGTGGCTGTGGCTGGACCTGGGGTAGCAGCTGGGACTTGGACTCGATCCACTAGCTGCTTCTGACTCCCAAAAGCACCCCAGAAAATCCTTGGCAAGTAGAAATTAGAACCCAGCCTAGAGGATGGCTGCATACTGCCCCCTTGTGGTGTTCTCAACCACTGCCCCCTCTCTGTCCAAAAATCTGTTCTAAGGCTAGGCAAGCAGTTTTCATTAAAGGTCTGATTTGTTTTGAAGAAATTATCTATGTGAAACTCTCCATTTATACAAGCTAAATCAGGGACTCTTTACCGTATAAAAGAATGACTCACTTTGCAAAAGAATTCATCATGGGATTCCTATAAGTGGTGAATTTTCCTTGCTATGTAAAAAATATTTAATAATGCGGTAAAATCCATATTGCACCTTTTATAAGACTCCATCTGGTGTGCAAAGGGAAGCATGTGTGTTTGGCTAAATAGTGAAACCCAGAGGGGTATCTCTCTTGCCAGGCACCAGCAGGGGCTTTTGGGGTGCCACCAGCTGGCTCAGACAAGTAAATAGGCTGGCCCTGGATGGTTTGGGGGGCAGACCTGATCCAGAGGACAGATTATGGCAACTCTTCAACACCTGATTGATAAAGAATCACCTGAGAGCACAATGGGGCAGCGACTGGCCACCCACGGGGCACATCCCCAGGCTCCACCCCCCTGGCCAGAGATTCAGAATAAGAAGATCTGGAGTGGGGCTTTTAAACAGCCAAGCCAGCGGGTTCTGAGGAAGGCACCCTGGACGACCACACTAAGAAACACAGTCTAAAGCTCTGCCCTTAGTCCCAGTGCCAGCCCGCCTGCACCCCAAAGGCTGAAGCATCACCCAGAACCTGGGGACTGGGGTGGAGAGAGGGACAGAGCAGGTGACAAGGAGAAGGGCGCGACGGCCGCAGCCTGTCTCTACGGTGGGCACACAAAGGAACCAGACCAGTGCCCCCTCAGCCCGCCTCCCGGGAGGGCATCCCACCCAGGACGCCTGTGCCCTGCCGATCCCTCTCCTCCCGCTTCCAATCCCGGTCCTCGCCCACCCCGTCCCTGCGGGCCCTGCGTCCGCCCCCTCTGCTCTGGGCCCCTCTTACCTGCGGCTCCGCGCGGGGGCGGTGGGCACCGGCTGGCCCTGGCTCTGGGTCTGGCTCTGGCCGGGCGGGGGCGCTGCTCGCTTGCGGGCGGGCTCCATGCCCGCGGGGGCCAGGCCGGGTCGCACGGCCGGGCTGCCCATGTACGGGGAGCCCGGGGGGCCCATGGGCGCCCCCTGGTGGGGCATCCGGGCTCCAGACGGCATCCCGGGGCGCTGGGGAGGCGGGGGGTGAAGCAGACACAGGCGTCCGCCGGTCAGACCAGGGCCCCTGTTCCAGGCGCGGTGAGCTGCGTCTCTCCCACCCCGAGCCCCCGGCCCGTGACCCTGCTGCCGACGGCTCGAGCGAGGGGTGGGCGGGGGCGCCGGAACCGCGCGGCTTTGGCGGAGGGGGGCTTTGCGTCTCGCTGCAGGAAGCTAACTGAAGCCAGGCAACTGCACAGGGCACTGCCAGCCTCGGATTTGCGGAAGGTGCCGCGAAAATGAATATTAATGGCGCCTTTCAACCTTTTTAAAGGATGTTCACATCCACATGCTCCTCTGCGAGACAGTCGGAGCGGGTCCTTCTCTCCCCACTTGACAGATGAGGCAACCGCGGCTCAAGGAGAAAAGCAACCTAGCCAAGGTCATGCAGCTCCTCCCGGCGAAGGCGGCGCTGAGCGGCCGTTTCCTGAGGGGCTTTTTGCTCTCTGCTGCTTCGTTTAGTTTAGGGGCTGGGCTCCCTGCTCGGACTTCTGCTGCTCCTCTTCCCGTTCCCTGCTTCCCAGTCCATCTCCTGGGCTGTCCTGCCTTGAACTCACCCTTCCCATTTCAACCCACTCTTCCCTCTGGGCCCCTGCCTTTGACGCCTCAGCCCTGATCCCCACCCCCTTCCTCTGATTCCAAGCCTCCCCAGGCAGGGGCTTTGCTGACGTAGCCCATCCCCATAATTTGCTCTCAAGGTGAAGGCTGGAGGCAACCTGAGGGACTGAGGTCAGACCTCACCAGGATTCTCCGATGGGGGGTGGGGGGAGGTTTAACTGGAGATGGGAGGTCCAGAGGGCTTGGGTAGGTCAAAAGCAGCAGCATTTCATCTTATATCCATCTCTCCCTGCCCGTCCACCCGAATCACCAGAGATGGTCCCATCCTCCAGACCGCCTCTACTCCCCACCCTGCCCCAGTGAGGTCAGAAGTCTGGGTTCGCAGGGGGCCACGGAGAGGGAGATGAGGCAGGTGTATTCCTTTGCCGCTACCCCGGTGCTCAGCCGGGATGTAGATGACATCAAATGTATTGAGACTTTTAAAACCTCACTTGTCCAGATTCCAGAAGAGAGGTTGGGGAGGGTCTGAGGGGCTGTCAAGTGGAGGGTGGGTGGGATGGGGGCTGGAGAGCGGGAAGGAGATTTAGCGAGTGATGGTTGCAGACCCTGTGCCCCTGATACCATTCGAGCACCACCCACTTCACCCCCAGGAGTGCAGCTGCTCCCAGGAACAGGGAGCAGAGCCCTAATCCTGAGCTTGGTGAATCCCTTCTAACTGCTGACTCTCCCTCCGGTCCCTCCTGCCTGCGCTATGTCTAACCCTAACCCCCAGCCAGCCAGCTGTCTCTGCCCATCGCCTCTGCGGTGAAACCTGCCTGTCCATGTGTCTGCCTCCCCTGCCCCACCTGACCCTGTCACTCACACCTCCAGGGTGGCAGCCCAGAATGGAGCCCACGCCGGCCATTCCCCCCCAGCACAGATGGGCCACTGGGAGTGGGGCAGTGGGGCTCCCAGCCACCCAAGAACTGAAGCTCTAAGTTGGCCAAATAAAAAATCCACGTGTATAGTCCCTCTCCCTCCTAGATGGGCCTTTTAAAAGGGACTCCCCAGGCAGCAACATTAGGACTGGTCACTAGGCTGACTGACATGGAAGTTAGCCCAGAGAGCCCAGTGGCTGGAGGACAGCTGCCCCGGGGAAGCCCCTTTCCCCATCAGATTCTCTCCCACTTAACAAGGCCAGTGGTACTCACTGATCTGCTGAAGAGGCCCTGAGAGGGAGACTTCCAGAGCCCCCAGAGGGCTGTGCCAGCCACCAGGGATCGGCGACCCACACGAAGGGCCAAAATTCTAGGGACTCTGGCCTCTTTTGCTGAGAACATGCCTTCCTTGGGGTCACAACCAAATGTGGTCACTGTAAACCTGACTGCCTCCTCTATATCGGGCTCCAGCACCAGCACCCATCCCAAGTCCTGGAGCCCCTGCCTCTCCTATTCCACAGCCCTTCCAACCTATTCCCATCCTCTCAGGTCCCCCTGGGCTCCCTCAGGCTCCCAGTGGACCTTCCAAGCTTGCTTGTGGCAGGACGGTGCTGCCCGGCCCCTTTGGTCTCTAGGCCTCGCGTCCCTGACTCCAGCCCTTCCTTCACACCTTTGAGGCATTAGGGACATCAGCTTCTGGTGGCTGTGTCTGCCGAGGGATCCTCACAACCCTTAACTTGGGGTCTGTCCCTAGAGAGGGCCTCTCTGTGGCCTTGATGGCAGAGGCCGTCAGCAAAGCCCCAGATTCCTCCTGCGGGGATGCAGAGGTTGTTCAGCCCTAGGGCTTCCGGCTCACAGTGCCTACAGGGTCACCTGCTCCTTGCTCCTGAGACACAGAGGAACACTGTCCCAACGGATTAACAGACAGCCCAGCCCAGCGATGCCAAGTCCCCCACCCCCACCCCCAGGGCAGGGGTAACACCTGGGCCCACAAGGAAAAGAACGGAAGACAACACGTCGGGTACCTAGGGGAGCCCCCACTTGGGGGGTACAGTCCCCAAGTCCCACCCCCAGCCCCTGACAGGAACCCCTGCAAACGCCTCCCTTCCCCGCCCGGGCACCCATCCCCGGCCAACCGCCTGACGACGTGTTCGGGTGCCAGGGCGCCGGCACAGTCCTGGGGCTGGGCCGCGGGCCGTGGCGCTCCCGCTAGAGGGGTGGGAGAGCGGGAGCCCCCCTCCCGGCCCCTCCCGACCATCCCTCCATTCAGCCCGAGCCAGCTCGCTCTCCCTCCCCCGCTAACTTTCCCCCACTCACCACCCCATGGACCAGAAACTCAAAAAGTTTGCTTTTCGTGGCTTTGCGCGCCCCTCCGGCAACTTCGTCCGCGGCCATCGGGGTGGGCTCAGCGGCTCCTCTCACTCTCTCTCTCTCTCTTCCTCTTTCTTTCCCTTTTCTGCCTTTTTTTTTTTCCTCCAACTCTCCCCTCTGAGTCCTGCTGGGCTCTCTCACACTTCTACTCGAGCGGAGTGGGGAGGGGGCCCCTTCAGGGCTGCCCTGACGGCCCACGGCCCACGCCGCCGCCGCCCGCCCGCCGCCGCCGCCGCCGCCGACTGATAAGACAGAAATAGTCCGGCGGCCCGGGGTCTGCCTGTTGACTCGGCGGGGACAGAAAAGCCTGCCTTTCCAACCCTCGCTGGCCAAACAGCGCAGATAAGCGGCGAGGCACGCCGGCCAGCCCGGCTCCCGGGCGCTGGGCAGCGGCACTGCAGCCCGAGGCCGCCCGAGGGCCGCGGGGATGCGGCGCGGGGAGGGGACGCGAGGGGAGGTGGCGGGGGGCTCGCCGGCCCTCCGGCCTCTCGCCGCAAATAGTTTCTCGGTTAGGGAATTCGCCGGCAGGGCCAGGCAGGGAACAGTCAGTTCCAACTTTGCCCCGAAGTGGCTCCTGCTGCATTTCTGAGGCCCTTTCCCCAGAGACCTGGCAGGCCAAGTAGGGAAACATTCGCTGGAAGGAATCCGGGGGGAGCCGGAGCCCAGAGGAGGCCTTTCTCCTGCACCGGGGCGGCAGGCGTGGGTGTGCCCCGGGAGGTGGGGTGCCCCTGCACCCACAGATGTGTGCGCCCTTGTCTCATCCGCCGTGTGTGTCTGCACCCTCGTGTGGGCACGGCTCGGGGCTGTGGGTGTGGATATTTATGTGCGTGCACACACAAATGCCTCCTCTGTGTGCCTTTCTCCACGAGAGCCTCCAGTGCGCGCGCGTGCGTGCGTGTGCGTGTGTGGCGGGACACGGTCTGTGCCTCCCAGCCCTGTGTGAGTCTATTTCGGGGCATGTGAGTCTTTGTCTCTATGTGAGTGAGGGCAGTAGGGGAGGTATTTCGGAAACAGGGAGGTGGATCAGGCTCGTGAGAACAGGAAGAGAAGCTGTGGGGGCAGGCCAGGAGCCGGCGTGGACGGCGGGGGGGCGGGGGCAGAGGGAGGTGAGCAGGACCCGACGGCTCTGGAGTCGGGGGTGGGGTAGGGGACCCTGAGGAGCTGGGGCGCTGAGTGTGGGAGGGCCAGCCTCAAGACCCCAGAGAAAGCACGGGTAGCGGTGGGGCTACAAGGGAGCCCCAGAAGGGGTGGTGTGGAGGGAGCTGGCAGTCCCTGGGGCGAAGGAGGGACAGGATACAGGAGGGGCAAATCCTGAGATTCCCCAGGCAAGGAGCTCTGGCCCCGCCCATGCCCCTAAGGCCACACCCCTCTCTCCTCCTTCTGGAGGAAGAGCCCCAGGGCTTTGGGACAGAGTGGGTCAAGTTTATGGGCCTCCTGGGGTTGTACTGTCAGTATCCAGGTGAGGATGGGGCAGGGCCTGAGGGGATTTGTTGGGAAATTTATTTGAAGTTAGATACTGAAGACCCAGCATTACCCTGGGGCGGGGTGCAGTGGGGTGGTCCTGACCTTCAACCCTTCAGAACACCTTCAGAGGTCAGGACGAAGAACCGAGGGAGTGTTCTGGCTACGGAGCCTTTTTTGCCTGCAGCCTGATTTCCTTGGGCCCCCTTGTGCTTCTGGTTGTCACGGTCCATTTAAGTGCCCACTGTCAATCCCCTGAAAGGCTAGAGAGGGCATGCGGTCCACGATGCCCCTCCTCTACCACCAGCTTAGCAGGGGACCTAGAGATCCCCTTCCTACTACATCTTTACCCAGGCTTACCCCCCCAGACCCACACTCTCAGAGACTGGGCCCTGCTGGGGTGGGAATGGGTGGGTGTTTGCCATAGGCCATGGAGGTGGCTGCTGGTAACCTGGGGAGCTAACCTCTCCAGTCTCTTGGCTAACTTCCAAAACCCCTTGCTCATTCCCATTCCCAAGCCTCTGCTCCTGCTGTTCTTTTGCCTGGAATCCCCATGCTGCTCCTCCGCCTGTCTTAAAGCGCAGTTTGGGCCCCACCTCCTCCAGGAAGCCTTCCCTGGTCCCACTCCTGTGCACAGATCTTTCTGTTCTCTGAATGCCCACTGCCATCTACCATGGTCACGAACTGGCACTTTACTGACTAATGTCTCACGTTCCCTGCGTTTCATGTGTGTTATGCTTGGCTTTCCAAATAGACTGCAGCCCCCTGAAGCCTGAGGCTGGTCTTAAGTGCCACTCTCCCTCCGTGCCTGCACACAGGGACTGGACATGACCAATGCCTGCTAACACTTGCAACCACCCAAAGCTCAGTGGCCCAGTGGACAGAGCTCATACTCTGCCACTTACCTGAAGCTGTGCCTCACCATGGGCACCCCACCCCCCCTGTGGGTGCTTCTAGCATGGACATGTGACACCTTGGAGGTTCTGGGGGACAGGGGCAGGGGCAGACACCTCTAGGCTTTATGTAAAGCTCCGAGGTCTCAACTCTTGGAGAGGCCTTTAGGGGAAAGAAGACAGCAGAGGAGGTGCATCAGCACAGTGGGAACCCCAAGCATTTGTGAGGGGGCTGGTCTTGGTGGTGGAGGAGATTGCAGGAGGTGGTTAGGCCAACGGATCTGGTGCCACCGAGGTGAGTATCGCTCAGGTCCATAGATAACAGCCTCCTGGGCCACCCCAGGATGAGGGCCTCTCCCTGCAGCCCCCTCTCTGGGAGACATCCTTACGCATATACAGACAACAGATATATAGGGCATGCCTGCTCCCAGGCACACACACCAATGCAAACACCAGAGGAACAAGGAGACACATGGATTTGCACACACAGGCACAACGTGATCACCAATGCAGCCCGCTCGCAAGGCCTCAGCCAGCAGACACGTGTGCATACTGCTTTTACAGGGGCGACCCTAGGTGAGCGGACACCGGGAAGCCTTAAGACCAGAAAGCAGAGGCGCCAGTGAGGGTGTCCCGGGCCAGGACTCCCACCTCACAAAAAGGCCAGGCTCCCGAACGGCTCAGCACCAGAAGGGCGCTCAGCAGTGCCACGCAGCCCGCCGGCTCCTGCGTCCTGCCGGGTGGGAAGGAGGCCCGGGGCAAGCCCCGATTCCAACGGGCAAGGGCACTTCCTCCCGGCTCAACCCGGCCCTTAGGCTCGGCCGACCGGCCCAGGCCGCGCTCCGGGCAGGCCGTGCGCGTGTCCGGACAGAGGGCGGCCGCCCGGAGCCGGAGTCCCCCCTGCCGTCCCCCCATCTCTCCTTCCCTCGCCGAAGCACCACCAGCACCAAATGGCAAAGCGCCGCTCCCCGCGCAGGGAGAGATGCGCCGCGGCCGGCGGGACGGGCTCGGCGGCCCCCCCCCACGACGCCCGAGCGGGCGGCGGCCGGGCGCTGGGGGGCTCGTCCGGGACCGCGGCCGCCCTCCCTCGCCCTCACCCGCCCGGTAACCGGGCAGCGGCGGGAGCCGAGCCCGGGCATGCGCACTGCGGCCTCCCTCCCGGTGAAGGTCAGCCCAGGGCCTAGCTGCAGGACTCAAAGGCGGCGGGGCGGGAGGCGGAGGAGGGAGGAGGGATGCAGCGGAGAGACTTAACTCCTTCCCCGCAGGAGGATGGCCACCAAGGCTGGGGCCGGAGCCTGGAGTCCCACCCTCCCGCCTTCTGCGGAGGTCCCGCGGCGGGCACACAGCTCAGGGGGAGGGACACAGCTCAGGGGGAGGGGGGAGGAGGGAAGGAGGGGG